CCCCAAAACCCCAAAACCCCAAAACCCCAAAACCCCAAAACCCCAATTGCAATTCAGCAAATTGAATAATGAACCTCAGAAAATGGCTCTTAAAGAGGCTCTGAGCAGTAATATGTTGAAGGCGAAGAAGTCAGGGGGGTGTTTTATCCTTCCAAAGTGACCCATTCTCGTCATAACAGTCATGATAGCCAGACTAAAGTTGTGAAGCAGGGTCTAAGTCCGCTAAACAGATCACATGGCAGCACTTGAGGCAGTAGCTCAGGAATCACTGATTCTTCATCCAAGGATGGAAGCGGGTCTAAGGTGCAGATCCAGAAGCCTCAATCTGGAAGAGTGAAAGATATCATTCCAATTAAACTGAATTTTGAAGACGATGTCCTACAGGAAAACCCAACTCTGATTGTAGAAGTTGTGTCAAAGAAAGAGGGTGTTAAATATGAGCTTGATCCAAATGATGTCAAACAAGTTTTCAAAAAAATTCGGAGATGTAGTTAAAGTTGAGATTGTAGAAAGTTGAAATCAAGCTGTTGTAACGATGGAAGATCTACAGAAAGGTCAAGAAGCTGAAAAATATCTCAACTTCTACGAGCTCCCTGGAGCTGATGCTTATCTAACTGTCAAATGGCTGTTTGGAGATTGAAAAGAATTTCAAAAAATTGCTAAACAAAAGAAGTCAATGGTTAAGGAGAGAAGTAGTTCCGAAATAAAATCTCAAAGAAAAAATCAGATCAAGAGTTAGTGGTGCAAAAAGAAAAGTATGCAAAAGAAGATGGAACCTTAATTAGTTCAAACTCTTCTTCTAAAACTATTGAGGAGTCATGTACTCCTCAAGCTTCGATAGAACCAAACATTAGTAAGGAATGTACTTCTGTGTCTAAGTTCACAGCTAAGAATGAAATTCCAATAAGAAATCTTCCAGGATTCTGTGTTGCAAGGAAGATTATTGGTCATAGAGGCAAGAACATGAAATCAATTTTGGGAAAACTCAAGAAAAACAATTTCAAAGGACCAATCCAGGATGTCACCAAACTTAGACTAAGAGGTCAAGGATCAGGTTTCAAAGAAGGCCCAAACAACTGCGAGAGCCCGGAACCTTTGCACTTGTGTATTAGTTCTAAGTACTACGAAAAGTATTCGGAAGCTTGCGACCTTGTTGAGAATCTGCTTAAGGATGTATACCAAGAATACAACAAATTTTGTAAGTTGAAAGGACGGCCAACAGTTGGTTACAACGTTAGAAAGTTGGAGAATAACCCAGCCTGGTATCTATCTAATTTATTCGACGCACAGCAATAAGTGATTGCAAGAAGTGCCCTCTTTTGGGAGAAGTAAGAATCTTTCAAAGGGATAATACAAGAATATAAAAATTAAATGCTTCCAATATTCTCAACAAGAATAGGGGTTTTGGGGTTTTGGGGTTTTGGGGG